TCCCCGTACCCAAGGGTTAAGCATCGTGATGACCAGTAACTGAAGTTACTTTCAGCCAATTCTTGAACAAATTAATAAACGCGAGCGGAAGTAATATTTAAGTGAGGGTACCAAAATAATCATCGGAACTTCTATTTTTATTACAAAATTTATTGACTAGAAAGGCCGATATTTATATATAAAAAAATCATAAAAGTGTTGTGTGTGTCTATTCCGCAGCCCCGCGTCTAAGACTTTCCAAAAGTTATTTCTGAATTGCATTGTTTCCTAAAAATTGGTAAACAGCTATAAGCACATGGCAGAGTGAGAAATATTATGCCAAGAGTATAAGGGACACAAAATAACCATGGATAGTTATGTAACTAAAATATTTAAAATAACTTAGTCTGAACAAATAATCATTTAAGTAGCAAAACTGAGATTATGTAAATAAATAACCATAACCACGGTACTGAATAGAACAGAACAGAGGTCACAGGAGTGACAGTCAGAATAGACGTCCGGATTCAAGAGGCGGCTCGTGCAAACTCTAGAGGTGGCTCCCACAACAGTGTAGCACTTAGCTCCGTATAGCACTTTGTTCCACACCAGAAATCAGAGGGTCAATTGATCCATGACATACAGAGGGTCACAAAGTGACCAAACAGAAATCAATGGTTATTTAAGTTCCCCAAGGCGTGGGACTCCCGTGATGGTACTTACAAAACATAATTGTTTATAAAGTCATTATCAAATATATACTAAAATTTAAACAAATATATCCATGGGTTTCATTTTAACAAATAGAGTTCAAAAATTAATCCACGTAATTGAAATATTAATATAATTTATAAAATACAAATTACGTAAAATAAATTATGGTAACTCAAAACATATAATGATAACTCAAGGTATAATATAACTCACCTTAAAATTAATACCTCACTATTTCTTTCCATTATCAAAGATCTTCGTAACTTCCAACATTTCCTTCCCCTTTCTTAGTTCATTTTCCTTCATTTCTCTCTTTGTTTCCTTTTTTTTCCCCACAGTGATCACCTCCTCCTTATAATAGGGAGGTAAGAACATTAGCTAGCCAACACGTGGCCAATGTGTATCCTTCCACAGATTCGATCATAAAATATATGGATTTATACTTATCTTTAATAAATATTTAAGATAATTACACTTTGGCCCAATTTTCTAATATAACTATATAAATAAATTAATTCCTAATTAAATTACACCCTATCATATACCAACAGAAAATTAATTATTTATTTTACTGCCACACCCATTATTATTATTAATATTATTATTATTATTATTTATTTACTCTTACTTTTATATTTATTTATTTACTATCTTTAACTTTAATTTGGCTCAACTAGTATTATAATTTCATATTTCTGTTAATTTGGCCCCAAATAATAATTCCTAATTAATCCCATATTTGATAATCCAATACCAAATTAGATTATGTATTTATTATTATTTATTTAATAATATATTATCACGTACAACCATAATACCAGTATAAAATTTAAGGGACAACTTAAATTTTCAGATTGTTACAAATACTCTAAAAAACCTCCTTAGTGTAACACTCTGATGTAACATACAAAAATCTCTTAATGTAATATTCTAATGTAACACACATAAAAAAAAACTTCTTAGTATACGTTTTCCAAATGTAACATTTCGAATAAATTTCTTAATACTTTAATGTAGCACACCAAAAAAACTTTTTGGCATACTTTTCCTAAACGTAACGCTCCAATGTAACGTAACAAAAAAACCTTCTTAGTGTACATTTCTTAAGCGTAACACTCTAATCTAACACTATATATATATATATATATATAATAATAAATAAAAAAATAATGTGAAATTCTTCAAATCATTTCAAAAGGAGTACAAATATTTCTTAGTAAGTTTTGGGCAAATGTATAATTTAAAAATGTGAGTGTTACATTTGGAAAAAGTATACTAAGACATTTTTTTAGTATTTTTGTGTGTTACATTAGAGTATGTTACATTGGAGTGTTACGTTTAATATTACATTAATTGGAGTGTTACATTTGGGAAAAGTACACTAAGATTTTTTTTATTTTTTACATTGAAGCGTTAAGTTTGGGAAAAGTATACCAAAGAGTTTTTTTTTAGTGTTACGTTGTTAAGCTTAGGAAAAGTACACAAAAGATTTTTTAGTGTGTTACATTGAAGTTTTACGTTATTGAAGTGTTACATTAGAGTATTAAGTTTTTGTTCATAATGTGAGATTTATTCTAGAATAAGGGAAAATCCAAAATTTTTATAGTGCAAATTACCTAAATGTGTAATTTTGCATTTTGAGAAACCCATTTTTATTGTTAAAAATTAAACCCAAATATAAGGTGCCGTTTGGTAACACTTACGTTTTCAGTTTTCTGTTTATATTTACATATTTTAAATTTTTTTAAAACATTTTGTCAATTATCAAACGCGTTTGTAGTTTATGTTTTTTTAAAAATAAACAAAAAATAAACAAAAACCAGTTTAGAAAATTTTTGTAAATATAAACTGAAAACGTAAACGTTACCAAACACATAACTACATTTTTATGTAATTTTCACTTTAATGGGACCGTTGGACTCTAGGGATTAGCAATTTGAAACCGGCCCGACAGTGACCCGACCCTCCGACCCCGAATTCAGCGGTTATTCACCGAAAAATATCTCCAACGGGCCGGGGACGGTATTCAAAAATCCATCCCCGATGATATCCGGGCCAGGGACAGGGATATGTGTTTCAGAACTGAACCCGGTCCGGCCCGGCCCCGGCCCCGCCCCGCATGGTCCCCGGGGTAAAATGACCCTTTTGTCCCTGGATATATATATATATGCATATGCTTGTCTTTGTTAGGGTTTCACAGACACACACACTCAAAGCCTCTCACACTCATGTCGCTCCTCTCTCTCTCTCTCTCGCCACTGGTCTGTCCCTCTCTCCTCCCTCCGTCACCGACGATCCTCCCTCCGTCACCACCGCGCCTCCCATCTCTGTTTAGGTATCTCTCTCTCTCTCTCTCTCTCTTTGTTTCTATCATTTTTCAGTAGGTTTTAGGACCCCCATGAGTTGGTTTTGCTATGCTAAGTATCCTTGATGCATGTGTAGAGTAACCCCTCTTGTAGCTTATCAAAGGAGCTCATCGTTCTTACATGTGTAGACCTCATTTCAGTGGGTATTTGGGCATATTTTGACATGTTTTTTTCACTGTTTTTGGCTGGTTTGGTGAGATTTCATATGCTTCATATAGGTGTGGTATAAACCATGCTTACTAGCCAATCTTACATATTGTTTTAGCCCTACATGTTAGTATTTTTTACAATATAGATCTGGTTTCCCAGATTTCGATCTATTTTATATTGATAATCAGTTGGATTAGGAGTCTCTCTAAGCTTCTGGATGCTTTGAATTTTGGTCTTGATCATGATATGGAACAAAGATTGGTTAGCTAATCTGTAGATTTACATTTATGGAGCTTATTTTGGAAATTATTTGGTATTAAGTGTTGTTTTTGGTATTAAGATTGGAGTAGAGCAGTCTCTATATAGGCTTAAGTGTTGTTTTTGGCTATTTTGTATTGTTTGATAGGGAAGAAGGTTATACTCATTTTTTGAAGAAAAAAAAAAGTAGGTGTTCGCAATATTGTTAAATGATGATGTTTTACCTAAATGTTTAAAATTTTATTAAGAACATGCATTGGTCATCTATATAAACTAAGAAAGGTGCAGTATTTATTTGGCTTTGTTGATTCATATATGAGTTTTGTGCTATCATATATGAATCGATCAATTTCTTTCTTCTCGTATCAGGAAAATAGGTTCATTTCATATTCATGTGTCTGCAGGAGTCTCTATGACAATCATAATGAAATGCAAGAGAATAAAATAAAATGCATCACACACTATTTTGAGAGGATATGCTCTTGTATGCCTGTGGGTGTTGTCTCCTTTGAGCGTAAAGTACTTCCTTTGGAAAATAGCTTTCCTTGTGTTTCTTATCCAAAGGCTGATTTTTGGAGCACATCTTCTATTCCTCTATGTCGTTTCAAGGTAACAAAGGAACATATATACTTGTTTAATTTGTGTGTACATTTTTGTTGGTTTAGTAACCCAACTTTCAATGGTTTACTGCAAGGATATGATGTTTTTCATCTTTGTTATTGTTGTAGGTATACAGGTCTGGCTTGATAGAAGATCAATCTTGTGAAGCTCTTGAAGTGGATTTTGCTAACAAGTATCTTGGAGGTGGTGCTCTTCACAAGGGTTGTGTACAGGTTTGCTTTCATGGAAAAGATGGACCCTTATTCTGATTATCAAATTATTTTGTCAATTAGAATTGTTCTTGACTTGTACTACTAGCCTTGTTTTATTCTCCTGCACATATTCATGAAACCAGATTTAATTCAATTTCACTTATCCATGAAATAGCACTGATTGATTGCAGAGTTTAAGAAAAGTTTATCTAATTCAAATCTTAGTCTCTAGAAATGTAAATTATTTGGTATTTTGATTCTATTGCTTCCTTGCATGTGGAGCTTATTCATGTTAATCTTAGTCTCCATAGATTGTTATGATGAATGGGAAAGTTTCTACAAATTGGCTATGTTTCAGTAAAGTAAAGCTAGTTTTACACTATGTTTGGCAAGCTAGAATAGAAAAGAAAAGAAATAATTTGTCAAGTTAAGAGAGAGAAGAAAATAAGAGAAAAGATTGTGTGTTTTTTTTTTTTAAAGATTGTGTAAGATCAGAGTTGGACCATTATCTAGAAGATGATGTTTTGCCAAGAACTTCAGGTTTTGATGTTTTGAATTGGTGGAAAGCTAGTGGACCAAAGTATCCGACTTTACAGGCAATAGCTAGGGACATTTTACCTATTCTTGTATCCACTGTTGCTTCTGAGTCAGCATTTAGTACTAGTGGAAGGTTGGTGAGTCCACATCGTAGTAGACTTCATCCAAACACATTAGAAGCATTTGTGTACAAAGTTGGTTGTGGGGTGAAGAGATGAAAGGTATTATTTCATCCAATTTACATATTATTATTTCACTTGCTATTATTTATATTACCATGGAATAATTTCACTATTGAATTTATATTCTTTACTTTTTAGGAAATTCAATATTGGAATCGGTGGGCTATGCAACTATATATGATGATGATGAGATCGAGTCAGATCAATCATGTGCCACTTTTGTGTTAATTGTCATCTTTTTTGTTGTAATTAACATTTTTTACATTTTATTTTAGTATTAATTTTTTTTTCCTTTTGTTATTTAACAGGAGTTCAAGTATTTCACTATTGAATTTATATTCTTTACTTTTTAGGAAATTCAACATTGGAATCGGTGGGCTATGCAACTATATATGATGATGATGAGATCGAGTCGGATCAGTCATGTGCCACTTTTGTGTTAGTTGTCATCTTTTTTGTTGTAATTAACATTTTTTACATTTTATTTTAGTATTAATTTTTTTTTTCCTTTTGTTATTTAACAGGAGTTCAAGTTGAAGGAGATGATGGAAGTTGTGTGGTTTGTATGGGTTTGAAGAAACAATGGATTTGCTTTTTATGTTGTAATGGATATTTTTATTTTTATTTTTATTTTCAATTTTTTGGTAACCTATCCCTTGCGGGTTGTACTTGGGATTAATTATTCTCTTTGCTACTTGTTGAATTTTCTTGTGTGCTGCTGGACACATGTTTTGGTTGTGTTATTTTGTTGCTACAGGATGCTTTGTGTGTGGGTTGTGTATGTATGGGCTGCTGAATTAATGTTTACTGATGTTTTGCTACAAGATGTTTATTGATATTTATTGATTTAAATGGATATTGCTACAGATTTATGGATGTTGCTACAGATTTATTGATGATAGCTTCATTTATGGATGTTGCTACAAATGATGTTTTTTAAATGGATGTTTATTGATATTTATTGATCTAATTAATTAAAAAAATGATATTCCAACTGATGGATGTTGCTACAGTTCTAATTAATTAAAAAAATGAAGCTATTAGGGTTGATATTCCAACTGATAAATTCTAAAATTTATACATCCAGTAGTAAAGGGTGATTGAGAATGTTTATTGATGTTTATAGATTTTTACATATAAAAAAAAAATCGGGATTATCCGGGGTCGGGGATCCCCAATCCTCGATCGGGGGGATGGGGCCGGGATAGGGGTCCCCGTCGGGGATTGGGGACGGGGACGGGGGGGAGTATTACTTTCGGGGATCGGGGACGGGGGGGTAGCCCCCGCCCCCGCCCCGCCCCGCCCCGTTGCCATTCCTATTGGACTCATTAAGAAAAAACACAAAATGGTTTTCTTTAAAGTTCAACACACACCACTATTACCAAAATGTCTTTAGTAACTAATTTAATATTTCAAATTTTAAAATAATATAACTTTTCATCTAGATGCCAATTTTTAATAAAATTAGTATTTTTAGAATCATCTCATCAAGATCTATCAAACAATATTTAAGTTGACTATGAAATTCTTCACACCAAAAAAAAAAAATTACTGTCAAAATTAATGTAAACAGTAAAAGTTTACTCTAATTCACAATAAAATTTCACTCTGTTTTACAGTATAATTTTATTTTGATTCACAGTAAAATTTTACTCTATTTTATAGTAAAATTTGTATAACAAAAGAAATAACTCAAGAGCACACTACCAAAATAAAATTTTATTGTCATGTCAATCTTAACAAGGCATTAGCAAAAAAAAAAAAAAAAAGTACATAACTCACATGTGAATCTCCATGAGCAAGCCTCATGAGATCTGGAACAACATCTTGTAGTTTCTCCTCATCTTCCTTCTTTATCGTCACGGCAGTTATGAAAGCTTTTCGGCCTCTCCTCGCAGTCATCGACCGACCTGGCAAAGACTTTGTCAATCAATCTCTGGGTTTGGAATTAAATGTAAATCAATCTAATCATCGTCATCATCATCATTTCATTGTTGTCGTCAAAATTTGCTCAGATGATCTGCAAATTATTTGTGTTACTGAGCATCATTGTTTGGTTAATGCTTGCCATAAAATCTGAACCATCATTGATTCATTTCTTTGGATGACGATTAATGTCCTAGAGCTCCGCAATCGAGAGGTTCTCCAAATGAAGGATAAAATAGCTAGGGTTGTAAAAATGGCCTATGGGCCCATGGGCTGCTGGAAGCCAGCTTACAACTCGAGTGGATTCGGCCAAACTAAGCCTGGCCGGACCCAAGCTAGGCCTAGGCCCTCTGTTTGGAAGCCCGGCCCGACTGGTCAACCCACCCCCAACAACTCTTTGGTCTCCTAACGGTTAGAAAATTCAAAAAACAAAAAAAAAAAACATTTCAAGCAGTTATGTAACCGTTTATACATCTTAAAAGTTTTTTTTTATTATTTATTTATAAATTCACGCCCTTCTCTCAAACTCCTATAAATACCATCTCTCTCCCATTTTATTTCTCATAAATAATTCTCTCTCTCAAACTCTCAACTCTTAACTCTCTCAATTAATTTTGAAGTCTCATACCTAAGTGGCAATTGCAATTGTGTAAGAATAAACTTTTATTAGAAGAAACTAATTAATTGTGTAAGAATAAACTTTTATTAGAATAAGCTAATTTTTGTATCGTATTCACAAGTCGGTAATATTAATTATTTGAATTAAATTTATTATTTACTCATTTTGTTACGTTAATTATTTCTTAACATATATTTGTTGTTATTATTACTCATTAGTTCTTATATATTTTACTTAAATTATTATGAATCGTAATATTGCTAATGTGTATATCGATATTGATGCATATACTACACAACATGAATCTGTTGATTCTCCTTCTAATGCATCTAATATCAATATTGATGCATATCTCTCTTCCAACAGCTAGATCATCATCTAGGGACACGACTAGTAGTGTTTGGGAGGATTTCAAAAAAATATGTACAAATAATCTTGATGGTACAATTATATTTCAAGCAAAATGTAAATAGTGTAGAGGTGTGCAAGTAGATCGAATACCCGATCAACCGCTCGACTCGGGCCGACCCGGACCGTCACAGATGGTTTTGAAGAACAGAATGGTCAATGGCGGGTTTTCTGCATTAATTTTCACAGATTCGTGATCGGTAACGGATTATTCATATGCATATCCGACCAACTCAACCAACCCAACCCAAAATATTAACTATATAATATTCCTATATTTATTTCAGGAGTATGCATGTTTAGCCTTGAAAATATGCATACAGTCTGCTACTAGACTGTATTCCCACTTTGAAAGACATTTTCTCTCTCTCATATCCTAGAAGACCAAAACTTGAAAAGTCTCTCATTCTCTCTTTTCTCATGTCTTTTCCTCATTCTTTCTTTTATATATATTTTTTTTCTCTCTATGACAGATCTCGGAAGACTAAAAATGAAGAGCCTCTTTTCTCTCCATCTTTACTCTCTTTCTTTCTTTTATTTTTTTTCTCTCTCTATGACAAACTAGGAAGACAATGAAAAACCTCTTTTCTCTCTCTTTACTCTCAACTGAACAAATTTATTTCTCTCCTAAATGCTAGGTAGATCAAAAATCGAAGAGTCCCTCTCTTTTCACTCTCGTCTCTGTCGTTTCTCTTTCTCTCATTTTTTTCCTCTATCTTTCAAACATCTCTACCTCTCTTCCTCATGTTCTCTTTCTTTTCCCTCTCATTTTTCTTTCAATGGTGATGGTTGTGGTGGCAGATGAGGTAACGGTGATGATCGGCGATGGCGGAGGCAGTGGTTACGGTTGCAGTGATGGTGATGTCTCTCTCTCTCTCTTTCTCTCTCTCCCCCTCTCATTTTTCTCTATTTTCTTTCATCCAGTCTGTGATAGATGTATATGTATGAGTAGTTCAATTCCATTTTTTTCAAAAAAATTTCACCCATTAGATTTTCGAAATCGAATGAACCGACCATTAAACCGCATTTTTTAATTCGATTGATTTCGAACTACACTTCGATCGAGAACGGATCATTGATTTGTTAACTCGAAGGCATCGGTTTGGCCGGCGAATAAAGGGTAAACCTGAGCCAAACCAACCCGTGCGCACCCCTAAAATATTGTACACATTTACTTAGTGCTTCATTTGCACGGGTACTAGTCATCTAAAAAGGCATGTTAACAAACATTTATAAAGTTAACAACTTGGTACTAGAAGTCAAATGCAATTAGGGACTTCATTAGCTGGTCATTTGTAAACATTTTCATATGATCCTATATATGCACAAAATTTTGTACTTGATTATATTATTAAAAAAAAATAATCTTTTACTATCAGTGAATGTTCCGATTTTTTTACAAATGGTTCACGAAGGTTTTGCATTGCAATATCAATTTTTTTTAAGAAATACTACTAGAAACAGGATTTTTAAAAAAAATTGAGGATATTAAAAGTGAATTATTTGACATTTTAAAAAATTTAAATAGAAGAGTTTATTTAATATCTGATCTGTAGTCAAATAATGATTTAGAATATCAATAAATCACTGCACACTTTATTGATAATGATTGAAAATCAAATAAAAGAATTATTTTATTTAGATTAGTTAAACTTTCATACACTGGACATTCGTTTGGTATACAAATAAAAAATGTATTATATGAGTGGGTTTTGCAAAATAAAGTATTTACTATTAGTTTAGATAATGCAACATATTACAATTAGACTGTAACCCATTTGAAATCAACTTTACAATTACTTGTTAATGGTGATTTATTTCATGTTCATTGTTGTACTCCTATTATAAACTTGATTGTTAAAGAAATTATGCATGTATACGAGACTTCTGTATTGGTAATAAAAAAATATGGTTCTTACTATTATGTCTGCTGCTAATCGAATTTCAGAATATAGAAAAATTTGTCAACGAAAAGGTATGCCATTTAAAAAGTTAAATTTTAGATATAGACAGCAAGTGAAATTCAATGTATAATATGTTAAAGAGAACTTGTAAACAAAGAAAATTAATAGATTTATTTTTTGCAACAATATCAATAGGAGGAGTACTATAACTCTCACAAAACTAAATTGGCACCAAGTAATCTTATATAAAGATTTTCTAAAAGTTTTTGATACTGCAACAAAATTATTTTCTCACATATATATATATATATATATATTCCTACTTCACCATTTGTTTACATATATTAGCAGAAATAATGAAAGTTTTTACAAAATATATGGGTAATGAATATTATGTAACTATTATTACCACAATGAAAGAAAAATTTGATAAATATTTTGATTCATTACCTCATCTTTTAGGTTTAGCCATAATAATTTATCCTAGTTGTAAAAAAATTGATTTACAAGAATTTTTAGAAATGTATTTTTGCTGATCAAAAACAATTTGCCCCCTATTATGAAAACATGCAAAAAATTATTTGAAGAATACAAGACAGCTGCAACTGTAAATACACCTACATACACTACACCAGCATCATCTCGAGGTGGAAGATTAAATGTTTTTTCAGCAATAAAAACTAGAAAAATATCTCAACATACAAGCATAAATAGTTCTGAATTTAAATGTTATTTAGATGGTCCACTAGTGGATGATAGTGAAAATTTTGATGTTT